GGGATGTACTCTCAAACCTGTTTGGGAGGAGATAGGGGATGGACTCCAATGATAATTAAGTTGGCCGAAGTGTCCAGTGCGAAAGTCCCGAAATCTTGATTGCAGTTGCATAACGTAGATAATTTGAAGTGTTGAAGTATTATTGATAAGAGTTATAGTCTCATTTGAAATTGAAACGTTGAAATGTTAATAATGTGAGTTGTAGTCTCATCATAAACTGTCTGGATGAATAGAGAACCATATCTATGAATTGGTTTGGATAATGAAACGGAAAAGTAATGATATATATATATATATATATATATATCTGTGAATATGGATTGGCTATGAAAGAGATGTATGTCTGTTTATGTGAGTAAAACATTTATCAAAAGCTAATGTTTTAGTTATTGTTCATATTATGTTTAGCATAACTCTACTGGGCGTTGGCTCACCCTATATGGGGCATCATTTTCAGGTTCAGGTGATATGCCACCTCCAAGGACATAGCTTGGGAGGCTTAGAGGCTGCCAGATCTTTTGTTGTTATCTTTTGGTATTACATGTAAATTCAAGCCAAGGGCTTATTTTGTATAAAGAGTTAGAACTCTTCTTTTGTTGTAACTAAGTGTTGACTTAGAAAGTTATAAGCCCGTAGGGCATTTACTTTTGATGTCAACATGTAATACTTTTGTACTTAATACTCTGATAAATGGAAATATGCTTTATTTACTTTGTCTATGTATGTCAAGAATGTGGGGTTTATATGTATTATTTTGAGAGCGTTACATGTTGGTTATCGGTTACCTAACATACAACCTTCCTCCTTTACCCGGACTTGGGACCGGCGGAGTTGTTAACCACCCCGGCGGAGTTATATATGTATATACGCATATACATATAAAACCATATATATCAATATAATTAGTTGACCTCTTTTCTATTTTGCAAAAACGACGTCTTTCTTGCATTATGCAAAACAATAACTGAGTCGCTTGAACCGCAGTGAACCATAATGAATTGTAGTGAATTGCAATTGAATCATAAGATTCACTCAATTTAAGATTCAACTGCACAAATCAAATTTTTTTGCTTGAAACTTGTATCAAATTGTATGAATTGAATCGTGAATCGTAAGATTTTAACAACCATGCATGCAGTTACAAGTTCCTTGAAGGCAAAGTACCACCTGTTGGTTTTCTCTCCTTCTGGGTCAGTGATACAATATGCATTGCAAGCATCTTCTGGGTTAGAGTCTGCAACAGTGGTCTCTGGATTAGGCTCTTACAACTCTGCTCCTGAAACAGGTTAGTTGTTGAGGCAATTCAGAATTGGAATATTTGTCAGAAACAAAATCACAGAGAGCGAGCAGATAATATTGACATGTATGGTGAAAGTGGAAATTCAAACAACAGTAAAATATAACCCGAAGGAATTACAAAGGAAAATGGTGGCTACCCTGAGGTTAAGGGTTCGAACGTAATAGCAAAGATTTGTCCTGAGAAAAGACATCATATTTTTATTTCTGAAGCTGAATTACAGGCACAATCCCAGACCCCATTGTGGGCAAAGCCTCAGGTGGGAGATTTGAATTGGTGTTTATTTAATGCAAGTTATGCATGTTTATCGGTGTGACGGCTGCAATATCTTTTGTTGTGTTGTTTCTTTGCAGATTTACTTCCAGTTCATGACAATAGATGGGGAAGGCGCTCCTGGACGGGAAATTGAGATTGAGAGGATTCCAACTCGCATGATTAAAGCAAGGTCAAAAAATTTAATTCCAGTTTTTGAATCTCTTCCAACTCCCAAATTCCAGCAGGGGAGGTGTGCTGAGGTTATATAATTCTTTTTTCCTTTGGCTTTTATTGTTTTTATCTAAGAAGCACGGACATGCCACGGATATGACACGGACACACTGACATGCCGATTTTCAAAACATGCACGACACGACACGTGGCAGACACCCACAAAATATATAGTTATATATATTCTTTATATGTTTTATATATAGGAATATATTATTCAAAGATAATAATAAAAAAAAAAAGGTAGTATAACACTTATTTCTACATTTACATTGTTTTTTATTTTATTATTGTATTATAAGTTGTTTGCATTGTTTTTTATTTTATTATTATATTCTAAGTTATTTAGTTCAAACTTATAATTAGTTTCATGTGTATTTAATTGGTGGACATGTGGGTCCTCCAAGTGTCCAAATCTAAAAAAAAATTTAAAAAATAGGACACCCGTTTTGATGAATGTCAAACACGTGTCGGGAAGTGTCCAACGAGTGTCGGTGTCTAACATAGACACAACATCAAGATGCTACATTTTTAGAAGTGTTTGTCCTTTGGTTTTTATTTTGTTTCTGTGGATTGCTGTGTTGGTTAAATTGGAACGTGCTGTTCTGCATTATGTTGAAGAGTATCTTGTACTTGCACCCCTTTTTTGTTTTCTTTGTTTTGTTTGTTTGTTTGTTTTTTTTTTTCCAGGTCACAGCTTTTCAGTCTTGCTTTTATATTAGTTAAGTTAAACTACTCATAGAAGCAACAACAAAAAAGATGAAAATGTCGTCAAGCAATGAAGTTGCTCATCTTTTCAGAGAGTGATTTGATTCATCAATGTCTCATTGCTTAATGTGCATCATCATTTCGTTTTGCCTTTGTTTTTGTTTCACTTTGTTTTTACTGTTTTTTGCACTAATTATTTTAGAAGTACAAACATTGCACCTGTTTCTGAAGCAATAATTCATTCTCTTTTATTTTATTTTTATTTTTTTCCTAGGACTCCTGCTTCAAATAGCAGTACTAATGGGCAGCGGCTGCATCAGACGTCGCGGCTGGCTGAAGATGGTAAGCTTTCATGCAAGAGCAGCTGTGGCTCTGTTGACGCCATGACTGATGGTGTTGCAGTTGCTGACCTTGACAGTGACATTGGAGAAACAGAGTGGGAAGGTCTTCTTATGCCCACAGTAAAATAAAATGTGACAGCCCTAAATCAAATATGCGGCTTGAGATTATACATAATGGAGAGCTCAATGATGGAGGCCCAAGTTTCTTTTGTTAAAAACAACACAGAAGGCATGAAACTGGAGAATCAATCGGAAGATGAAGGTGATGAGTTTGATTAGAGGTACCTCACTTATGTTGTTCATGGGATTTAAGTTATTTATTTGACGTCTGGTCTTTTTTTCATTTGTATATCAATGTAATAATATACTGCCTCATTTCCAAAAGGCTGTGTTTTGGATAATGGATTTGGAAGGGGGGAAAAAACAAAGGTGAAGGAAATATGAATAAAATATAACCTTTTTTCCCCCTCTATTTTCCTTCCATTTTTCAATTCCCAACCCAAATCTATGATTCAAAAACAGCCTAATGCTGTGTTTGGTTGGGGTTTTTGAGGTGGAATTTGGAAAAGGAATGAGAAATGTAATCCTATTTATGTTTGGTTATAATAAAAAATATATGGGAAAAGAAAGGGGGTGAGAAATAAATAAAGAAATAGGAGACCTTTTAAGACATCAATTCTATTTTATAACCAACACAACCAAACATAGTTGGGATTTGGAATTCTATTAATTCTTTCTCCTTTTCCTTTCATTTCCATTTCCCTTTCTATTTCCCTTCCCAAATCCCCCAACCAAACACAGCGTAAGAGTTTGTTATTAGATATCTGGAATTGCTTATATGGCACCGCCTGCTATTAATGTCCTGAGTTACTTGACCTCGATTGTCTGTTTGGGTATCGTTTTAGATCTCTTTCTTTTTGAATTTTTAGAGTGGGCGATTTGTACCCTGGGTGGTTGAAATATTAATCCTTGACAAAGACACATTGTCTCCTGTTTGCCTTTTGTTTTTTCCTATTTCTCTCGCCGTATTTTGATGTGAATTTGAAGTTATTTGTCTAATAGAATTTACTTGTTTCGGCGAATTGTTGTTTTATGTACTTGTCTCTCTTATATTTCACAGGTGTGCATCTATATATACTTTTGTTTTTTGGAAGGCTCCTTAACAATGTTAATTTTTGTGTTGAAGTGTAGAGAGGAGTGAGGTGCAGCCAGTGTGCTTGACTGCAATGCAGAATGGTGGATAGGATGTTGGTCGGGTGTTGTCTTCTGTTGAAATTGTATATAACAGACAGAATATAATATATATATATATATATATATAATGTATGTATGTATATGTATATGTATATGTATATATGTACAATAATCAGTGACAACATATAAATAATAGCATCACCTTACAACTCTTTGTTACTTAATGTTGTGTCGTCTTATTCTATTAATTTGAATTTCATTTCATTTCATTTCTTACTATCCTTCTGTTGTGCATTTGAATTGGAGAGGGGTAGGGATTTCATTCTTCTTGGTGACTACCCCCTTTGAGTAGTCATTTGGGACCGGGAATTCTACAAAAGAAAGGGAAAGAATAACGATTTTGACTCCAATCTCTTTCGGCCACCACTTTGTTTTGACCAACCTTGATCTAGGTCTTCTTTTTAGGATTGCCTCTACGGGAAAGCTCCATTCAGTTCTGATAGCAACCGTTCCTATCCCGTTCATAACAAAACACCACTAGAATTGCACGCCTTTGCTTATGTATGCACCCAACTGAAACTACCGATTAAGATTGTTCATGCTCTTCCTTTATCACCAACTTCAAACTGACTTTGACGTGTAGAAAAAGATATTTGTACAAATATTTCAAAAGAAACTGCCACAGAAAAATATTTCAATAACTAAACATAACCAAACTTGAAAATCATTAAACAAAACACTTCTCAAAAGAAAATGAAAACAAAAAATTACTAATGCTGTGCTTGGTTGGGGGATTTGAGAAAGGATTTGAAAAGGAAAATAGAAAAGGTAGGTGAAATGTGAATAAATCATGCCTATATTTCACATAATTTTACACACCTTTTCTCTTTCTTTTTTATTTTCCTTTCAAATCCATTCCCAAATTTCCCAACCAAACACGGTATAAAGAGGGAGAAGATGAAATGGTCATGAAATTAGAACAAAGCCAACACATTTTGTCTCGAATTCAAAATCACCGGAAGTGCCATCTCTGAATTTCTGACAATGCATCTCTCAGTCAGATTTTGACATGTGTCACAAAGCAAGCACCTAATGTGTCTGAAAGCCAAGAAATTGGCTCTATGAACTCGCTTATCACATCTTCGACATAGAAATGCATCATCTGCTTGACAGTACAGTGAAGCCCGAGAGCCACAAAGCTCACAGTCTAACTGTTCTATAATTCCATGGAAGGAAACCACATCTGTGAAGATCTCAGAACTGCCATTTATGTGGTTGAGCTCTCTGTCTATGCCTCTACACATTTCCTGAAGCTGAAACTTAAAAACAAGAAAACTGCTTTATAAAAGCAATTTTAGCATGACTACAAGAAATGGGATCCTAGTCAGGTGAATCATGGAAAAGTGCTCTTCCAGCCCCAGCAAGGGTCCACAAATCATAGCACAACCAGTAGATCATTTCTTAGTTGAAAATTGAAATCAATAATTTTTCGCAAACAGGAAAGCACATGACACCTAGTAAATGTGGTCCATAGCTTTGTCACACAGACTCGAATATGAATATGGGCTAGTATCACTGAGTATCAGTTCTTCGGGAGATTCTACCCACCCCCAAAAAATCATTAAGTACTTCTTATTTATTTCTAAGTACACCTTTTTCATTTATTTAAATTTTTATATTGTTCGAAGCACATCCTATTATTTTTCCTAAGTCACCCTTAATATATAAACTCAAATAATAAATAATAAAAAAAAAAAAAAAAAAAAAAAAGTATTTGAAAAACCTTTCAAACTAATGCACATGAGGCACCCGGGAAGGACTCTATAATCAGAGTCACTATTGACAAGCTTCATCTCTTTGCCTCTGTTTTTTTCTTCTCTTTTTTCTCTTGCTATTTTGCTATAACAATTTGTTGATTCCTATGTGTTTGACAATTCCATTGCTGGTTTGCTATTTTAGCCTCCGTTTGGGAAGTGGGTTGGCTTTTTGGCTATTTTAGCCTGGGCTAAAAAGCTTGGTTTGGGAAGGGCTTTTTGGCTTTTTGGCTTTTTTGACTTTTTTTGTGAGAGAAGAATGTAATGATTATAGGTTGGATGTGATGTTTTGTTTGTTATGGCTAAAATAGCCTATTTTGTTTTTTGTGGCTAAAATAGCCAAAAAAGCCTGGTTTAGCCCTTGCCAAACACAGGAATTTGTTGATTACTATGTGTTTGACAAAATGCTTGAATGGGAAAACACTCTTACACATTGGTTTTTTAGTATGTTGGAGCTCTCACATATTTCAGTTTTTTTTTTTTTTTTTTCTTTAGTGGAATTTGTTTCATCTATATTTTAGTGTAAAGTTATTTCTTTATTTATAATGTTAATGTAGATGGTTTGATTTTTATATGAATGCTTACTTCCTCTTTTATGAGTTGCCTTAAAATGCTATCTTGATGATCACTTTTCTCCATTATTTGATTGTTTAAACTTTTTTTTTAGGGTTTAGAGTTTTAAAATAATAAAAAACAATGATGTTAATGATAATGGTAAGTTCTGGTAAAGTGGATTGAAGTTTTGGAGTGAGAAAGAAGGAAAAGAAGAAGATAAACTAACTTTGATCTCTTGAAAAAGAAAATGCAGGGATTTGAATAGGAATAATGGATTAGGGTGTACCATGAGGAAAATAATAATTTATTTTAGGATTTAATATGAGTTGTCCTAATTAGTAAATTCATATGAGGATATAATAAAAATTAAAATTTATAAATTTAAATTAAGCGTACTAAGATATTTTTTAAGTTCAAATAGAATATGCCCAGATCTTCACAAATTTAATTTTTAAAATATTAAAATATGTATTTAAAAGTTGGATATGTGAATGACAAAGTTGTTGGGCTTTTTACTGAGGCAGAGGGACAAGACAAGGATGTTAGGCATATTACCGAACCACATATACATTATTGTGCTGTGTGTTCGATTTGTTTTTTTAACTGTTTTTGTGACTGAAATTCTTTGATTTCTGTACTACAAGACACGGCATAAATAAGTTGCTTTTTATCAACTTTTCAAAACACTCTTATATATTACACATTGTTTAATATTTTTGTATAAAATGTAATAAATTATGTATAATATACTTGAAATTAATAAATTATGTATCATATTATATATTGTTACTCTTCTCATATCTAGTAAACACGGTTTTTTAGATTGATTTTTTTTAGTGTTTTTTTGTTTTTCATTTTTAATGAACATTTATAACAAAATTCAGAAAGTTTCAAACTTTTAAAGTTTACTTAGCTAGGTGAACCAGAAAAGTTATAAAATAAAATAAAAATTAAAGAAAGTCCAACCAAAAAAAAAAAAAAAGTAAAAAACAGTTATTATTATTTTTATTTTTTTTTTATTTCAGTGAACATTTTTGATTTTATTTTTTTTTAACTTTTAAAAATTCTGTCTCAGTGGTTAATCTGATAATTGTGAATTGTGTGCCCTTTGTGCTCATTTGTCTTTATTCTTTATTGGTAGGTGCAGAAATGATTCCATTGCACTGATAAATAAATAAATAAAAAAAAAAAAAACTAAGTTGACATTCTTAATTCTAACGTATCAAAATGAATTTTGGTAAAGCATGTTTCATTAAAAAAAAGAAAAAAAAAATTAAGATTTTAGAGACTAAAATTTAGAGATAAAATTATTTTTTAAAGACTAAATAATTTTGTTGTGAAAAGTATCGTCATTATATTTTTAACAACAAAAATTAGATATTAGTGATGAATTATTATCTTTTTGTGACCAAATTTTTTGTCTTACAAAATAACCCATTTGAAGACCAAATTATCTTGTTCCTAAAAGTGTATTTATTGGTGACATTTTCAAAATTTTGTTGCTAAAAGCTTTATTTTTAACTTTTCAGGATGACTTTTTTACGACTATCCTTACAACGATAGAAACTGGCTCCTAAATATTATTTCCAACAAAATTTTTATTTTTAGAGATTAAAAAATTTGATTTCTGAAACCTTTATATATGTTGCTGTGGTTTCTACCAACAAAAGGAATGAGAGAATTCTTGGTAATAGACCCACTGTGATTGTGACTAACATTAGCATAATATAAGAATAAAGAGAAAAGTTGGGGGCATGCACGGTTAAGACTGTACAGTTAACATAGGTTTAAGGTAAAATGACATCCTTTCAGGACAAAATGTTTAAAATTTTTATGTCACTTTATTTTAATTTTAAACTCAAGAATCATTGAATTATATATTTTACTAACGCAACGTAACTTGTCGAGATAAAAAACACAACAAAATCAATACACAAAGTCACAATAATAGAGTACACAAGGGAATTTATTTCTTTAAGTAATGTGGAGATTTATAAACCAAAAGGTTATATAAAAAAATTTAGATAGAATGATAAGTGAATTTCTGATTCTTATCATTTCAAACTGAAAGACCTATTAAAGTGATTTATTATTTTAAAATTTTCAACGACACGTGGTCGTGTATTCAGGCCTTGTCTGGGAAAGATTAAAAATTAACTTTTTAAGTTAAAATTTATAAAAAGATAAAATAGGTTAAAATAATTAATAAGACAAAATGTCACATCAAACTCATAATAATTTCACTTTTTCTCTCACAAACATCACATTCAATTACAAACAAAAAAAAAAAGCCAACCATATTTCCAAACGTAAAAATTTTAACCTACTAAAATAGCAAAAAAACTAAAATAACCTACTGAAATAGCCAATTTCCCAAACAATGCCTCAGTATAAATTTTCTAAAAGAATAACATTTTCCAAGTTCTTCAACTGTCTTTAGTACAAGTTCAAAACAAAAAAAAGAAACTTTTATAAAAATTTTCTTTTTTGGTGAGAGTGTGAAACTCTTGTCTTGCAATACCAAGAGCGCAATAACAAACATAAACAAACATTTTAGCCAACCCCTAGAGGGTTTGTTGGGTTGAGGTGGGTAGGCAAGATTAAAATAATTAAACTTCCTCATTTGAGTTGGGTTACTTTAATTTGGTTTAATATAATTGGACTTTCTCCATTCGTAAGCTGAACAAATCATATGTTTCAGAAATTTGTTTTATCTTCCAATGGACAGTATGATACACCTTTTGGGAAAGAGATCTTGAGTTCATGATATAGTTTATGTTTTATCAATTTTAGGTGAACTATCTATTTGAGCCACAATTTAAAAAGAAAAATGTTTGGGAGCTTTAGAGAGACTTCTAATGGTGAGTCCCACCATGTGATTTTTTTTTTTTTTTTTTACCTTGTATTTTTTTTTTTTTTTTTTTTTTTTTTCACATCACTAGAGCTCTATATCATTATTGATTTAAAAACCATTCAAGTGTTTGTTGACGAGGTCACCTAGTTTCAAGCTATAGCATGTCGATTATTGAAAAGTACTTTTTAGAACTCTATATCATTACTAATTTAAAAATCATTTAAATATTTGTTGACGAGGTCACCTAATTTCAAAGTATAGCATGTCAACTACTGGAAGGTGCTTGTTGCCTAGGCGACCCTAACTCTTCTTCCTCTTCTCTAGGGTTTCCTTTTCTCCTATTCCCTGAGTGCTAAGAATCTTAGACAATGTTTGTAATAAAAGAAATCATTTTGGCATAACAAGGCAAATGCTAATCAGTGCAACTACTTCCATTTGGGCATTTCAATAAATGGACATTTCAATTATGCTGATAATCCCTATATTTTGGTCACTATTATTTTAGTCTCTATAATTTCAATTCACTCAATTTTGGTATTGAATTTATTATTTTATCTCAATTTAGTCCAATTGATAATAATTGTTAACAATTTTTTATGAAAAATACTCAAATAAACAACATGCGACATGCTTTTAAGGGCAAATTTATAAACTTTCTCAACTCAGTGAATTAATCTCAACCAGCTCAATGACCAGTTTTTGTCAAAAATCTTAACAATTTTATCAATTGGACCAAATTGACACAAAATCTAAAATTAAGAGTAAAAATTGAGTCATCTTAAAATATAAAGATTAAAATAACACCAAGGACAAAATGTAAGAACTACGCATGTTATTTCCCCTTTCAACAAAAACCTTTCTAAGTTCTCAATTGACACCAAATCCCTCAAATACTTTGCAGACTTCGTAGTAGTCGAATTTATAGCCATTTAAGTGATTGATGGCCATGCCTTGAACCTCGAAACAGCTTTCAGTTTTCAACAACCAACACTAGGGGTGGGCACGGGTCGGTTGCGATCACGGAACCTTCAATCCGCCATCCGTCCGCCAAATTGACGGATTGGAGAAAATCAATCCGCATCCGTCCGCCAATTCGGCGGATGTGGATTGAGCGGTTTGGCGGATGGATGCGAATCGGTTTGGCAGTTTAAGATTTTATAAATTTTTAACATAATTCAACTTGTGCACTTCCTCAAAAAAAAAATAGAGAGTATTACAGTCAATGACTTAAAAAACTATTACAATTACTATATGTCTCATCCAAAAAAAAAAAATTTTAAACTTTAGAATATCACAATCACTGCATGACTCATCCACATATTACAATTACAGCATGATTCATCCACATAAAGTATTACAATCTTTGGTTCTTAAAATATAATAATAATTCAAACCACCAAAATCATGAACAGGATAGTAGTAGAGATTATATGTCTCCATATTGTTACATCTATATATGTTTTTGAAAACAAAAACCAACCAGCATATATCATATTTTCTATTTATTATTTTTAGAGTTAAATTTAAAAACCAAAAAATATAGATAAATAATACGTTTATTTTTTTCAATTCAAAAAATATATTCAAGTTGAAAACTTTTTTTCAACAGAATATTTAAACTCTTTTTCAATTGAAAACACAAACAAAATATTTAAACAAATTGAAAACATAAAGTCTTATAAATTATTAGAGGTGCTCGCGATTTAGCGGTTCGGTTACGGCCAAAAGAACCTCAAATCCGCCATCCGTCCGCCAAATTGGTGGATTGGAGAAAATCAATCCGCAACCGTCCGCTCGTCATCACGCATCCGTCCAAAATGCGGCGAATTGGTTCGATTCGGTCAGTTTTGACGGATCGGTGTATCCGCTGCTCACCCCTAACCAACACATTCAACAACACATTCAACCTCTCACCGCTCAAAACCCATTTTGAATACACTTCCTGATCACACCCTTTTCCTTTTACTCAACACGACAACACCCCTCTAACCTCCAACCCCATGAATAAATAAACCACCTCAAGTGAGGCCACAAAGTAGCTCAATACATACTGCTTTCCTATGCCACTGGCTTTGGGTACAGTACACGACAGGAATTTCGAATAGGAATTTGGGTTACATACAATTGTAGGGATTGCCACCAAAGAAACTACTTCACTAACATTGTTATTTTTTATATGATCAGTTTTTTGTAACCTTATAACTATCAGGTTGGTTGAGTTTCTACAATTTTCGGGTAAGTTTGTGGTTGTTGAGAGCCTTTTCTATAAAAGGTCCTCGAACAGTCAACCAAAACATAAGCTGCCTGATTAACTTATTTACATATGAACACAACAATAACTTGTGCAAGTTCCAAATTAACAAGTCATTCATCAACCACCAAATGCAGTTAAAATACTACAGTAAAAACTAATACAGTCAAGCGCGAGGACAAATTAAATGAGAGCTAGAGGTACAGTGTGTACCCAAACCAGTTTAGGCTTGGGCTGCCAATTAGGCAACTGGTGGACGGAGCACGTGATCCTGTGAGGTGTCCACGGAAGCAGGTGGCATGAACTGCCACATGGCAACTCCTGGGTAACTAATGATAGGTACCAATTTGTTGCCGGCAGGTTGGCCTTGAGCGGCATATGTAGCTGGGATTGCAGGAGGACGAGGTACGAACCCGGGTTGGGCATTCATTGTCTTTAGCTGTTGCTCCAGCCTCTCTTTCTCAGCCTTCAGCCTCTGCTTCTCGTCACGAAGCTCATTCTTCTCAGCCTAGGAGAGAAAAGAAAAAAAATGATGAAAGAAAAGAAATTGTTTTCGATTATCACATTACCAAAATAACCTTTTGTGTCAGTTTTTTATTTCTTCTACATCTCAAGGGACAGTTTTGGTATAATGAAAAATAGTAATTTGTTTGTTTCTTTTCTCTCAATCTCTCCACTTTTGGAGAGATTCAAAATGAGGATTATAAAAGAAATTGGTTTCCCTCTATTTCTTCCCATTTCTCTCCTATTTACTAATCCAAACAAGTGATAATGAACCAAGAGAAAAGTGTTTCTTCTCTTTTCTTTCCAAATCACCCAATCCAAACAGGAAAGTCTCATGGTCAATCATTCTTTTGAAAGGTATATTCACCTTCAACTCTTTAATCTTCTCCTGCAGAGTCAAGTTTGAATCCTTCAACTTTTGAGCATCACCCCTTAACTGTATCACCAGTCGAATAGCTTCAACCAAAATAGCAGCCTTGTCTGTTTTGGGAGGCCTCCCAGGCTCAAGGATAGAACCCAATTCCACAAACCTAGGAACATGCCTATCCCTCCGCAACTTCTCTCGGCATGCTTTGGAACTTGATGATGCTAGAGAGAGAGGGGGAGAAGGAAAAATGATAAAAGAGTTCACAGGCACACTTGTCATTTAGCCTATCCCTCCGCAACTTCTCCCGGCATGCTTTGGAACTTGATGATGCTCCACACGATTCGGGTCTTGGCCTATAACAAGAAATAAGATGAGGTGAGAGAAAAGCTGGGAGAAGAGATTGAGATTTTCCTTTGGTGCCAAATTGCAGGTTTTGTTCACATCTAGCCATTGTTTCCACATTACATATAGCTAGTATAGCTATCTTGCTCAATATGCTTCAACTAAGATCATAAAAATCCTAAATTCAGCTGGAGCTTGGCAACCATCATCAAATCATGGTTCATTAAAGCTAATATAGAATTCACACAAAAATGAAGGGTGCCCATGGCATCAACTAAATATGACTAAGAAAAAAAATGGCAGACGGAATTCTTTCGGTGAATTGTAGGAGCCCTATTTCCTTAACATTGCAGCTCATTGTTTGCATCCAAGTGAAATTCAATTCTTATGACAGACCCTTGATCACATAAACAAGCTTTGCATTGTCATTAACTTTTGTGCATAGTGGCTCACAGTCTCGGCCACTTGACAGGTGATGAGCGACCATGACTATGAAGTGTGCTTGCCAGTGAATGGTGATCTTAAGAGAAATCCAAAATTTATTTTTCACAATGCATCTTATGAGAAACCAACAGAACATATTCCACAGAACAAGCAGTTGAATTGAATCTTTCAAATGTAAAGACAATGTACACACGAGTGACACAAAATTTACAGCCACCTTTACTATTTAAATTTTTACCATGCTCTGAAACTCAAGATCTCAACGCATAGACAGAGTAGAAGTTGTTTACCTCTTTTTTGAGCCAGTTTCCTTGCGACTGTCTGAATCCCCAAAGGAGCCATCAATTTCCAAACTAGACATAGATTAGATGACACAAGAGGGACAAGTGAGAAAACAAACAAAAACACAAAAACTATCTAACTACATGCTTATTAATGAAATAACATACAACAAATTTCCTGAACAGAAAGACAGTTGACAAAATTTTCAATTCAATAGGATAGAACAGGAAAGTTGAACTATATAATAGTTCTACCGACAAAATCAACACAGAAAATGATGGTGGGACGATGCAGCCCGTTACTCAAGAGGCTACTACTCCACTCACGTTGCCTGACCTATATTTTCCATCATCCATTCTATGGTTAGTTTTGTGTTCGTAGAATTATTTGAAACATAATACACCTTATTTGCAAAAAAGCTGGTCTCATGAAACAAATCTGGTGACTTAAAACCTAAAATGCCCAAACTAAGAGCATAAGTTTTGTCACCATTTTTCAGCAAAAGCCTAGTAATTTCCCCAAGCCAGCAGCTTAGGAGAAAATATTCCCAATAATTTCCACAAAAACTAAAAAAACAAAATTTCTCCTAAACTATCTCTTTTCCCAATGAAGATGAACATAATTCAACAAATCAACCATCTAAACCTACAAATTGGCAGTCAAAAGACTACACAGCCAATTATTATAAATTCAAAAATCAGCAAATCAACCACCTAAACCTACAAACGGGCAGACAAAAGACTACACAAACAATTTTTACAAAAAAATACACTTCTGTTAAAGCCTTCTTTGCATGTTGAACATGGAGGATTCACAAAAACCAAAAATTGCCAAATGGGTACCAATAAAAACCCTAAACTTTTAGAATTCAAGACATTAAAATAGAAAACAATGACCAGTCACCAAAAAGTCCATAAGAATTCAGAAAACGGTCAAGAAAATCAAAGAATCACCAAAAGGGAAAAAATCAAAATACCCCGTGTGTTCTTCAATTGTTCTAGGTTAAGCAAAAGACAATCGAATTTACAATGAAAGTGAAATCTTCTTACCCGACGTTGGAAGAAGCGTTCAAGGGCCAGCAAAACCCAGAAGTGGGAGCGGAGAAATTGGGATCAGGGACAGAGATGTCCTCAATCAAGCCGTAATCGAAGAGCCAATTAGTGTGCTCCGGCGAAACCATGTCCGATAAGCCGCCGGAAAGTTCAATAATTTTCCAGCGAATTGTGATGGGGGTGAAGAACTAACAGAGGGTTTGCGTGTTTGGAAAGAGCGAGAGAGGAGTGGGGGAAAACGAAGCAATTTGGCTTGTGTGGGAGATTCTCTCAACCCGACCACCGACTGAGTGCACGTCGACATGTTTTTAGCTTTTGGCCTACTTGTAATTTTTTGTTTTTTTTTATCAGGGCCTACTTGTATTTTTTATTTTAATTTTTTATCAAGAAAAAAATTATGTGTGATGCCGTTACCGCATCCGTCAACTCTACTCCGGAACTTACTTGTGTAGTATGTTTAGAGGAGTGTAAATTTGGCTCGACCGGATTCGGCTTATGTCGAGTTTTGTAGGCTTTTGTCAAAATTTGGATTGGGTCAGATTGGTTCACGAGTCAGAAAATTAAATCTATGTCTAGGAGTATTCGGGCCTTGAGTGGGCTGGTGGGTAGGGTTTGAAAAATGTTTTTTTTTTTTTCTATTAAAATTTTATTATTTTTTACTAAAAAAACACTGGGCCTTAGACGGGCCTTGAGTTAGCCTTAAGCAGGCCAAGCCAGGCCCACGGACTGGGTCAGGTCGGGCTTGGCTTCAAGATGATGGTCCAGGCCCGAGCCCAAACAGGCCAACGAGTCAGAAAATTAAATCTATGTCTAGGAGTATTCGGGCCTTGAGTGGGCTGGTGGGTAGGGTTTGAAAAATGTTTTTTTTTTTTTCTATTAAAATTTTATTATTTTTTACTAAAAAAACACTGGGCCTTAGACGGGCCTTGAGTGAGTCTTAAGCAGGCCAAGCCAGGCCCACGGACTGGGTCAGGTCAGGCTTGGTTTCAAAATGATGGTCCAAGCCCGAGCCCAAACAGGCCTACGCGGGTTGGGGCCACTCCGGGTCACAGGCGAATTTCGAGTCGCGAGTCATTTTTACACTCCTATATGTTTACCCTTTTTGGACACTTCATCATTTTTTTTTTTGGTATTTTGTGTAACAAAAAATTTTAAATTCTATAATACACAATTGAAAAGAAAATTTATCCACTTTGTGAATTGATTATTTTAATTAAATTTTTAATTTTTTTTTTAAAAAATGAAAAAAATAGAGAGTGATATGATAATATTTTATAACTTTTTGACTACTAGCCTAACTCTCCAAACAAAACCTAAGTTTTTGGACCTATGTAGCTCTATGGGTTTATTACTGGTCTCATTTTAATAATTTGAATTATTTATTTTTAAAGCATAACATATAAATTACGTTAGTTTATTACATTTAATTTAAAAAATAAATGATTTAGACCATCTCCAACTCTTTCATCAAACTTCTATCAAATAAGAGATGAACCAAAACTTTCATCAAATGAAGGGAGCCATTAATCTTTCATCAAATTTAAATTGTTATCATTGGGCCGAACATCCCTTGGATGTCCATCCAAGAGCAACTTTGACAGCCTTTTTTATTCATGTCTGGACAACCTCCTGAACATTTGCCTGGACGTCCTTCCAAATAATCGAGAATGTGAAAAAATTTGATGAAAATTCTAGTTTTTAGCATTAGAGTGAACAGTATCAAATCAAGCTTTTTAATCAAATTTTTACTTACATTTAATGAAATTTTTTATTCAACATTAGAGATGTTCTTAGTTCTCAAATAATAATTGTTATTCATTTATTTTTTTGTACATAAATGTCATGAACTAAATTGGCTACTGTTATCAATTGATATCCTTTTTCACCAAGGATCCTCTAGTGTGTTTTTTTCTTAAAATTTTCTAAAGTGGTGTATTGTGTGGTTAAGATTTAATATTGAAAAATTGATGTGACTTGTCATTAAATCTCAACCACAAAATGCACCACTTTAGAAAATTTTAAGAAAAAAAAACTGTAAAGGATCCTTGTTAGGAGGTCCTGTGAGTAGTTCATCCAAAAAATGAAAGTGAAAACTTGAATTGGATTTTCCATATATAGTTGTGTAATTCCCCTGATGACGTTTTGGTAGAAAATATTTTTTAAAATATATTTTTTGGCATTTGATATGTGACATAAGATATGACTTATTCACTGGAAAAAAAAAATGTAACATAAGACAGAAGTCAATTGAAAATATTTTTTGTGATCACCAGAAAGCAAATTTATATTGAAGGAAAATAGTTCACTTCTGAAAAGTGAAATATATTTTCGAGCTAAAATCTTACTAATGCAATTACACTAGTAACATCACCTCAACCACCCCTATCACCATATGCCACCATTGGCAGAGATGAACCAAAACTTTCATCAAATGAAGGGAGCCATTAATCTTTCATCAAATTTAAATTGTTATCATTGGGCCGAACATCCCTTGGATGTCCATCCAAGAGCAACTTTGACAGCCTTTTTTATTCATGTCTGGACAATCTCCTGAACATCTGCCTGGACGTCCTTCCAAATAATCGAGAATGTGAAAAAATTTGATGAAAATTCTAGTTTTTAGCATTAGAGTGAACAGTATCAAATCAAACTTTTTATCAAATTTTTACTTACATTTAATGAAATTTTTTATTCAACATTAGAGATGTTCTTAGTTCTCAAATAATAATTGTTGTTCATTTATTTTTTTGTACATAAATGTCATGAACTAAATTGGCTACTGTTATCAATTGATATCCTTTTTCACCAAGGATCCTCTAGTGTGTTTTTTTCTTAAAATTTTCTAAAGTGGTGTATTGTGTGGTTAAGATTTAATATTGAAAAATTGATGTGACTTGTCATTAAATCTCAACCACACAATGCACCACTCTAGGAAATTTTAGGAAAAAAAAACTCTAGAGGTTCCTTACTCATTTTTTTTCAATGATGATTTATACATTATGGTCAAAAAAATGAACGATTTGAATAGCCTCTTTTGGGGACAATACAAATAAGCTGCTCATTAATTTATTAACTTATGTCTATCACATTATCACTTTATTTTTTTACACGTCTTTTCGTATTAAGTAACAAAAATAATTTATAAATCATCCCTAAAACAACTCCAAAATGAGATCTGGGATAAACATCACAATCCAGTCCACTGCACTCTTTAAAAAAAATTGTATTGGTCCCAATTAAGACCTCTTGTGATCTTTGATTTTAATTTTGTGGTATTGGTTATGACATAAGTCTTGCTTGGGATTTATTTTTTCATGATTTTTTTGTTTTTTGATTTTTGTATAAAATGAAAAATTTTAATGTATGGTTATTGAAGAGCTATCTTTTCATTTTTAAGAAAATCAATATGCTGAAAGGGTTAAATTGAAAGTAAATTCTAAAAATTAACTTGCAAAATTTTTAACGATAAACTACTTTAGAAAGTATAAATAAAATTACTCTTTAAAAAAATATTCTACTTTTTTTGAATCAATGCCTTCTGATCGAATCAAACGGAACGGTAGTGTTTGTTTACAAATGACCGGGAAGATTCCTCCTAAGTCAAGTTTCTTAACAATGTCCTGCTGCTGTTACATAAAAAGGCAGTCCAATGTAATTAATTGACTGTGGTGGAAGAAAAATTATGCACTTTATAATTATAAAATAAAAGAATAATACTATTTTATATTTTTTGAGTTATAATTAAAATAAATATAATTAAATATAACAAATTGTAACTAAATATTTTAAAATAATATCATAGTTAAAAAAATTAATTATAATTAAAAAATAACATAATTAAAAATAAATATAATATAAATATGTATAACAAAATTTTCCTCGTTTTTACCAACATGATCTATTAAACGTTATAATTAAAGTAATTGACCGAAATTCATTGAAATGACTTGAGAAGTATCTAGAGATTAATTGGAGCAATTCTTGACTTTTTAACCCATCAATTAACCCATCAAAACTACATTCAAAAAACATTTTTCATGTTGTCAGCAAATCCCCCCGAGAAATTATAGTTTGCCCTAGGGCAAATGTAAATAGTGCTCCAACATATATTTTATTGGTTAAAATAATAGGGTTTTATTACTTTTTGCCTCTTATAAAAGGACACTATGATAGGTATCATGATTTGTATAGTGTGGAACAATATTCTTGGATCACTAACTAACTTCTCTCCCACCCTAAAAAAACAGAAAAAAGAAAAAGCGGTGGATTGTTTTCGGTTCACTACGGATTTTATTTTGATAATTTAAAAGGTGTTTTAAAAAGTTGATAAAAAATTAGTTTTTGACTTTTTATCAAGTTTTTTTGACTTTTTTAAAGTGATTTGAGAAGTTAGTAAAAAGTTGATTTTTTTGATTTTTGATTTAATATTTTTTAAAAATGTCACATCAATCTAAAATGACTAAAATATCCTTACATTTTAATTAAAAATACTTTTTTAAATTAATTAATTATAATGTACCAAAGGGTAATTTGGTAAATTTTTTAGTGGCTTTTTTTTCTCTTCCCAAATGGAAATATCATCGTTTTGGAAAGGTTGGCGTTTTGGGAAGGTGCTGAAAAACACTGGCTTTTTGTTCACTTGCCAAAACGACACTAAAATAGTTCATTTTGATATTTTATATACATTATTTATAAAAATGTGATAAAATAAATAGCCTGTAATTATCGAATTAATCTAATTATTTATATACCTAATATACATAAAACACCTAATGAAATGAATAATTTAGAAACTTATAACAACTTTCACGCATCCAAACAACACCATATGATATAAGAAAAAAAATTAAGAGCTTTAAATTAAGAGTTCTAATTAGTGTGTAGGTTTCATATGATGTGTTGTTTTGATCTTAATTTTTTTTTTTAATTTTTCATATTATTAATGTTCTTCTAAAATTTTTAGATTAAATAGATGTATCATTTCTGCTCATATAAATATATATTTATGCTGCGGAGAGCACTAATGTGTTAGTGGTAGCTATTGAAGAACAGGGAATTAGGGGTAGTGCAAAGTACAATCACCATGAGAGGTCGACATGCAATTTATATATTATATACGAGAAAAGGAATTTTTAATTCATAAGTTTTGTGAGAGTTCTAGGGTGTGTGTAGTTTGATTTTAAGAGATAAATTTTTTAAAAAAAAAATTAGAAAAAAAGTTTAGAAATTTCTTGAATTTGTTTGGTTATATATTTTGAAAATAGTTTTGAAGTGTGTGAGTTTGAAATTATTTGATATT